TTCATTTTAGGGCCTAAGGTCCTGAAATTTGGTATGGAGGTACAGTGGGCAAATACCCCTAGGCGTTTTTTAAATTTTTGTGATACAGGCTTTTAGAATGGTTTTATTTGTAGTTTTTGGTCTGTGTTATAGCAAATAGTATTACTGTGTTAGTGTGCCTGTTTACCATGTTTGGGCATGAGTCATCACAATGGAATGCAGGGCATCAACCAATAGGCATGCAGCTTTCCTCTATACTTCTTGCTGATTGGCTGTTGGGATTTAACTTGATTAACACCTGCACAGAGCATTTCCACCTGCACAGAGCATTTCTTGCTGATTGGCTGTTGGGATTTAACTTGATTAACACCTGCTACAGAGTCATTTCCATACTGACAGTATGTCTTTATTCAAGTGTTTTGGTAGGTATTTCAAGCTTTTCTGCTCCAGCATTGGAATGCGGGGCATTGAACGTTTTTTATTTATTTTGTAAAATCAACAGTTTGCATTATGCAATTAAAAATCCTAACCAATAAAGTAGGGAATAGCTATCCAACTGTTGTTTTAGTTGTATGTTACTTCATATTATAGTTATATCAATGTAAATCATTGTTTTCCCTTGTGTTTCTCATTCTCTCCCTGCCATGTCGTAAAATGTGGTGAACCCATCGCTGTATTTGCTCCAAAGCAAATATTGGCCTTTCTAGTTTTAAACATGAATCTTATGACATATGTTTTAAACTGTGTTTGGGTCAGTTTTTGGTGTTTCAGGGATAATCTCTGGCTGGACAACAGCTGGTGGTTGGGGCAGTCATTTGCCAGTAAGTTAATTTCTAACTTGTCTGTATCATAAATCATATCTAACTTGAGAAATGTTTATTTGTGCAGAACTGTCCCGTCGGTTGTGATCAGCATGGCGGAACGTAGCGAGGGTTCGGAGCCGCCGACCTCCTCGGAGAACACGGCCGCCGACATTTCCCCGCTCAGCGACTCCGCGACCTCTGGGGAGGAGTTCGTCATGTGTCCCCGGCCTGAAGGTCAAGGGGCAACCACCAAGTATGTACTTTCTATGTATATATTAGTGATTAAAGTATGATATTTCAAATTTGTAATTAAGTACACAAACATGTGATAGAAAATATTTTGAAGTCAATAAATTGTAATTTTTTTTCATCTGACCAGTTCTTCTCTGATTCACAGGAGGGTAAATTTGAAGTTGAAGGTCATTTGACATGTATTTAGAGTGACCTTGAAGTTGAAGGTCATTTGACATGTATTTAGCGTGACCTTGAAGCTGAAGGTCGTTTGACATGTATTCAGCGTGACCTTGAAGTTGAAGGTCGTTTGACATGTATGGTGCCTTTTTAGCCCCGAGACGGAGGCAGCGGCTGAGGAAGGGTACAAGAGGACGGGCAGGAGAAGGTGAAACGCCTGTTTCTTGTCACTTAAGCTGCAGAAAACTGATGGAAATTCAAACCTCTGATCACAGCACATGAAGCCTGGAGTAATGACGCTTGCTGCTGAACCAAAGACAAAAATCTTTCCCTGATTATTGACACTGTTTATAATGTTTAATATCTGTCTATAATGTTCTTAATGTGTCTGTTAAATGCTAACTTCATGAACTGCTTTTTATGAAAATGATATACT